CCGCTCGGCCGACACCGGCCCGGAGCCGCCGCCGCACGTGCGCACGCTCACACTCGCCGCTCGCACTTTGGGGCGGCGCGCGCCCGCGGTGCGCACGTGGATCCGGGGCCACCGCGCCCCCGGGATCCAGGACCCGCGGGGATTCCCCCGAGACCTCTCCCCCCGCACGCCAGTCTTGCACGCAGGACCCACGGGCACACGGAATGCCTGGCCAGGTGACAGTCGCAAGCACACACCGGTTCAGGACCGAGGCAGGTGCAGAGGCTCCGCTCATTTAAACAGCTCCCCCACCCCGCCTCACGACCCTAAACCCGCACCTAGTCTTAAGGAGCCCTAAAGGGCAATGATGGTGTGTGCTTACCCAGGGACCAGACTCGAAATCCGGGCCGAGTGGCTTGGGCAAGCGCCCTAACCTCTCTGATCCCCAGCTTCCAGATCTGTAAAGCCCTGTCTCCTGTCTGCTCTCTCCTGCGGCTGCCCTGAGAATTCCGAGAAAGGCCCAGGCAAGCACTCACCTTGGGGGCAGGCACCCCGCCAAGCGGCAGGTTAACGCAGGAGCACTCCCGAGGCGTGAGGGTCACTTCCTGCTTTTCCCCTTCTTTCCCCCAGTTCTCCTTCCACCTCCACAAATAGGGGGCCAGGATAGGGATGCGGGGCTCCCTTCTGGGTGCCGCCTTCAAGTGTCCGGACATCCAGTGGGTCAGGCAGTTCGGAAGTGGGTGCCCTGGGGAGGGGTAAGGCTTGACCCGTTCCACCCTCCCGCTGGTGCAGCCTGGCGCTCAGCACTCGCAACTTCTGTAGTGAGAGTTCCTGGAACCCTGTGGCTGGAGGCGACATCAAGTGACAAAGGTCATCCAGGGAGCACAGGGCTCATGCCAGGCCCTGCTCTGGATGGCTCATGTACTTGCTGTGGTGTAAGCGCTGCACACGCAGCCCTGCAGGGGAGGCGCAGCTAAGGAAAATGACACTGAGAATAAGCCGTTGCTGGCATGGATCAGTCGGAGGTGCAAGTCCAGATCTACTCAACTCCAAAGCCTATTTCTTTCTACTGAGTCTTTCTTTATCACAAAATGGGGGAAGCCATCTGCAGTTAGGAGACCCTTTCTGGCAGCTCAGACTGTCTCAAAAAAAGTAGTGAGCCTCCTGTTTCCAGAGGCGTTCAAGCAAATACTGAATGGAACTTGGGTTTACGGGTGCTGTAAAAGGGCGGGGAAATACAAGGAGCAGATTCGAATAGGCCCAAGTGACAGAGTGGTCTGGCACCCAGGGAAGGTGGGGTTTGGATGGGCCTGGGGGTGGGCAACGCCATCAGCAGTGTTCTTGTTCCCTTAGTAACTTTAACCCTTCCTCCACTCCTCATCGTATCCCTTCAGAGCAGAGCCTTTACCTATTGCAAAGTCAAATGCAATGGGATTGGGGGGACCAGGAACTGCAAGGAGGGACGAGTGGGATCTGCGACAGGGTAGCTACACTATTTTGTCTCCTGTCCCTCACTGGATTCTAAGCTGTGGGTAAGCAGAGGCCATGCAGGGTCCTGGCTGGGTCCTCCTAGTGCATCGTAGGACCAGGGACACTTGCTGAGTGAGCAAGTGACTGATGAACTATTGTCCAAGGATATCCAGTAGGAATTGCTAAAAGTCTGTTCTGGACTTGGGACTTGGAGCTTGGATTGCAGTGCACTCGTTGGACCTCACAAGGGGACTGGGCATATATTCTTGAAGAACTGAATCTGAGTAGCACTTGCCCTCTCCTGTCAGTCAGCACCCGGCACACAAGGACCTCGATGCATGCAGCAGGTGGGTGGGTAGGGCTGCAGTCAGCCAAGCGGAGCAACCTGTGTGTCAGTCCATCCTACTTCCAGGTTCCTCCCCTGAACTTTTCCTCTGGGAGTGGGAAGAGGAGGCATCAACAGAGCACCAGGCAAGCCTGACCACGTGTGCACCCTCAGGGAGTGTCTTCACTCCATCCGGTTGGGGAGCTTCAATCCCTCAACTATAAAAATGAGGATACTGTCACCACTCCTCAGCTTGCTGTGGGCCTTGAGTGAGCTCCCAGGGCAAGATGCTTGGAGAGCTAAGAAGGGGAGGCTTGCTCTGAACTGTCCTGTACCCCAAGGGTGCACCGCTCCAGGCACAGGCAAGGAATGGGTGTGCACATGAGTATTAAGGATGGCTAAGTCTTCCTTAATCTGCCCCCCAACCCCTGGCCCTGGATGTCTAGCTGGTCCTCAGGTCACACAGAGCAGGTCCTGGACTCCCACAGAGAAACCCCTACCCATTCCCCAGGGCTGGTTTGGTCTGCTGAAGGAGATAGAGGGGGTATGGCAGCCCCCACATTTGAATAGAAATCTCTCTCCCCCTTCCTGTAGCTGGAGGGCAGAGCTGGTGGAAATTTTATTTATTTATTCATTTATTTATTTATGTATTTATTTATTTATTTTATTGTGGTACTGGGGATCAAACTCAGGACTTTGCACTTGCCAGGCAGGCGCTTACGACGCGAAGCTATCTCCCTGGCCCACTGGTGGAGATTTTAGAAAGAGTCTGGATTCTTACCAGGAGGCCATGTCACTTTTTCCACCAGGGCCTCAGTTTCCCATCTGTGACATGCCTGCTCCAGCTACTTTCCAGACTGCGGTGGGCATGGGGCATGGGGCATCGTGGTGCACGCACTGTGCTGGACAGGTGCTGTGTTCCCAGGTAGGGAGACAGGACCTTGCACTTGAAGAGGCCCAGGCTGGAGGAGGCAGCCTCTTGGCCAGAGTGAAGATGTGGTTTACGTTCCCCCAGGAGACTTTTACCTAGACCGCGGGCACTGTGTTTAGCCTCTGTCCCCCACCTCCGGCCCCGGAAAGAAGCATTGGAGATGGATGGAAATATAATGTGTGTCACAAAAACATGTGAAATTTTTTTCTAGTCTCACATTAAAAAGTAAAAGGAAATAGTGAAATGAAATATGCATTTGTTGACTGAGTGTTGTCTGCTACATAATTCTAATTTATTAACTCACTCATTCAATGAACTTACCTTGGCCCCTCTGCAGGCACTGAACCCCGCACTGACAGGAGGTGGTGGACATCACAGACCCAACCCTTGTTGTCATGAAGCTGCAGTCTGAGCAGGAAGCAGATAAATAGGCAATTACCAAATCTCCTCCCACAGAAGGGAATGTTATAGAAACTGTAGCATCAAGCTTAATATCAAATTTATGATTAAAAAATTATATATATAGTCATTCTTAAGCATAAAATGCTGAATTTAATTTTAGCCCTTTCTCAGTGGCTCAGAGTCGTGAACAAAGCCTCACCAATGGGAGGTGGCAAAGCGCCTGAGAGGTGTTAATGTGAACCGCTGCTGGGGGCAGTTTGGGACCCAGATGCCCCAGGGGTCACAGAGTTGGGTACACTTCTTCGTCTTTGTGCTGCAGGATGCTGGGTCTCTTTCATGCTGTCCACTGCCTCTGTTCTCGACTGCAGGGCTCCTGCCTCTGACAGGGTCCAACTGCTTCCTAAATGACTGTTTCTCATCCGTGGAGTGTTTAAGCAAAAATTAGTGCAGGTTAGAATTGTGTGGAAAGCAGGAATCCTTGAGTCCCAGGCAAGGATTTCCCCATGAGTCCTAAAGTGCTTTTGTGGTCAGCGGTAAAGGTGCCAGGAGGTCCCCTCTGCTGACGCCTGGCTGTTCTCGGGATATTTGTTCTCAGGTTGGAGGGTAAGTGAGGTGTTGTTATAAATACATAAGAGGCTTATTAATGGCCAGGCATGCACGGACTAATTACTTCCTCCTGTTTACACACAATCAATCACTTCCACGGGTTGGAACCACTGGCAAGCCCACAGTGGAAGGGAAAGACGCCTGGGTGGGGAGAGGCCTGGGCTGCTCCATCCTTCAAGTTCAAGCCTTGATTATCCTAAAAAAACAAAGTCTGTGCCTCCTGGGACCCCTCCTCCCTGGCCTGCTGCCTTCCCCTGCTCCCTGCCCGCCTGCTCTCTCCCGGCCTCCCCTCACCATTCCTGCTACCCTAGCCTCCACCTGCTCCCATTGCCCCTCTCCCCAGTCTCCTGGCTACACCAATGAGGAACCTGAACCCCATCTCTGCATTTCCTTCCTGTGGGACCTCCCAGTCCTAGGATCCCACAACTGCTAAAGCCCAGACAGCCTCATCTCTGGCCCACTGTTCTACCTCCACTAGCTGGCTGAAGCTCAGTCACCTCTACTGGGCAGCTTTGGTCGCTCATTGCTGGCTTCAGGGTACATTTTCCAATAGCCTCTCTCCACACCATGGACCAAAGAGCCATTCTGCACAAGACTGAGGTCACCTGTCCCGCTCTCAAAGCCCCCATCAGATCTCTCTCAGTTGAGCTCTCCTTGTCCTACCTGCAGGCCTCAGGGCATGCAGGCAGGTGACCTGGCCCTTCCTCCTTCCCCTTCTTGCTCCCCACTCCACGATCACCTGCTGGGTGACCCTTCCTCCCTGCTCAGGACCTTTCCTCAGAGAAATGCGCTGGCCTTGGCCTAGTCTGCTGTCTCATAGGGTCATGACCATGTCTGTCTGCACCTTGGTGTTTGGACCCTGCCTACATGCTGTGACCCCTCAATTAATGCCATCTTCCTGATGTCCAGATGGACCTGTGCCCCTGTGGGGACTCCACACCTGCCACATCTGCCTGGGGGAGCCCTTGGGTGGGTGTGGTGCTTGGCCTGGGCTCCTCCTGAGGCTGCCCTGGGTCTCCAGGCAGACTGAGTTCTCTGTGCCTTCAGGCAGGTAACGTGCCTTCTCGGGGTGCTGCTGAGCCTGGGGGAGGCCTCTGAGGACTCTCGACATCTAGGGTAACATGACAGAATATTCACTGTTCTTATTAATCTTAATAACAATCCTTTGAAGTGAGTTCTATTCTTATCTACATTATCTCTACGTAAATGAGCAGCAGGTGGGGGAGGGGTGATGTGACTTGTCCAAGATGTCACTGCTGTGAAGTAGCACACTCAGATCTTCCTGGCTCCGAGGCTGACTGAGGCACTGAGTCTTGATTGAGGCAGAAGGCCACTGGTGTGAGGGTGAGCAGGGAGCTCTGGGAGGGGAGAATCCTCAAAGGAGCTGTAAGGGGGCGGGGTGGCCCTGGGAGAGAGCTGGCCCATCCCTTCACCCTCCATGTGGGAGGCAAAGGCCCTCCAGACCAAGCAGAGAGGTTTTGCCAAATGAGGGGCCAAGCTGGGCCTGACCATTCAGCTCAGGAGCAGGGTGGGCAGGATCCCCGAACCCTATAAAAAGTCTGGGGGCGGGGCTCCCTGCAGCAGGGCCTGAGATTTGAGATTTGTCCACAGGCAGCAGAAAACTTGCACTCTGGAGTTAAATCTGCTACAAAACCCGGGGCTGGCCCTTCCTATGTGCTGCGAAGCTCTGGGGATTCAGAGTCCTTCTCTGAGCCTTGTTCCTGATAGGTAAAACGGGATACAACCGCCTGCCTTTTAGGTCTATGAAGGAAAAAAACCCTTGTGGTCATCGCACCGGGCCAGTATCTCCAGCCCCAGGCCTAAGACCTCCCTCCCGGAGCAGGAGGAGCAGGCTACGAAGCATTCTCAGGAAGGGGAGCATTCCTTTTCCTGATATTAAAAAATAACCTTATCATCTCTCTGCCCTGTCAGAGAGGACAAGCCCACACACAGTCCTGACACGCAGGAGCAGCTCTCTT